TGCCTTGGACTGTTGCAATCCCATGTTCGGTTGGAAATTTCATGCACAAATAGTGAATGGACGTTATAGCCCAAAGATCTTTCAGAGCGGGTCTGCCCAATACTCCATGATAAGCCGATCTATGATCTACCACCAGAAATTCCATGAAATGCTGGGCTACTAGGGGTGCCGAACCCATTTCGACAGGCAGGGTGATCCGCCCTCGTGGAATGATGATGTCCCCAGTGAATCCGAATAGTGGGTCGGTCAGGGGATCAACCCATGTTCAATTTGCATTTTATCAAAAGTGGAGCCGAACAGTATGTTCACGAAACTGCCATTGTCAACGAGCATACGTTTTAATCCGTTTCTAGCTACTACGGCTCTTACAACCAAAGCATCGCAATGGGGGTGGTGAACTCCCTCTGAGTCTTCCTGGGAGAAGGTGATCGGGGCCATCTTGATTGCTGATTTCGATTCGTTAACAATGTAACTGATCATCGGGGGATCGTTTGCTTCTCTTGTGTAATTTCTCTGGGCATTCCTGGTGTTCCACCTATGTGGGGTCCCCCAATGATAGTATCGATTTCCCTGATGACCTGGCCTCCCGAAAATTGGGCTTGGTTCCCCTGTCTGGATTGGCCTCGATTCCTCGATTCTCTTCTCCGAGGAGATTGTTCTTGGTGACCTCTCTCTCCCCTCCTCGGGGAGGTGGATCTGCGAGGGTGTTCGTTTCTACTGGAAGTGTGAGGGTTGCTTCGATCAGGGCGCCGATTGGCATCACGACACTCACTAGTGTCATGTCCATATAGTTGATGGAATGTACAAAACCTTGTTCCTGCCAAGGGTCTGTTTGACCTCTTTTTCTTCTTCTTATTGTTATCAGTTCTCCCAGATGGTCCCGCATCAGCAAGGGCATTATCATATGCCAGCACCGGCACTGCATTCAATGTGACGGAGGCTAGGGCCTGTCCGGATGTGGGAGCTATGGTATGTCCTGCTTGGGTCCATTGCTGAGTAACAAGGTGTGCTGCGGGACCTCGACCTACCTGCCTCTGAGGAGGAGGGAGTCCCTGCGCGGCACGGTTGCGATGATGAATCATTTCTTCACTAACAATTTCCACTCTCATCATTTCCACCAGCTCGTCATATGTGGAGGGATTCTTATTGCGCACGTCCCTCCAGAATAACGTGTTCATGTTGAGCCTACCTTTCAGGGCTAAAAGGGCTTCCCTGTCGGTGACCTGTTCGCAGTAAGTAATTTCGTCTGTAAACCTGGCAAGATAGCTTTTCAGCGTTCTCCAAGGGTCTGCCTCATGTCTTGCAGGCGTTGAATTGGTGCCTCTCCTTCCCTGCGTGAGAGTTACTGGTTCAAAAATGTTTTCTTCAAGTCTGACCAACTTCTGATGCTTAGGGAAGGAAGCCTGCTGTACCATACCTCGATGGCTCCGCCTAGTATTAAATAGAAGGCTCTGCATTTTAGAGCAGGCAAGGCTCTCCTAAGGCTCATTTGTGCATATACTTTGTGAGGTGCTTCTCCGGGTCCCCCTCTCCCTCATACTTGGGGATCTTAGGGGGCATGAAATTAGCTGGCATTGGGAAGCTGCGAATCTCCCTTGAGAAAGGGAGGTTATCATCATCATCGTCAATCTCATAAGATTGACAGGGTCCATCTGACCCTTCATCATCTTGGATGTCCTGGGGAGGTGGAGGTGCTTCTCCTCGACTCCCCCAATCGACTAGGTTCCTCCTCTAGCTTCTATTTCTAGGAGGGGGAGGGGGAACATGTTCTTGTTCGTGATTCGGACGAATTGATCCTCTTGCTGGGCGGACCCTATTGCTAGGATCCTCCCCTATCCGGTCGAAGACGCTTACCGACCTTTGGTCGTCGTGTTCTTGAGGGAAATTGTCCCCCAAGCATGGTTTTGATGGCTGACTCCCTTGCACATAAGATGTTGCTTTAGCATTCATTTTTCTTTCAAGAGGGCATTCTGTGTGCCGGCTCATGTGGCCTCGAGAGTGAGATAAAGGGATTTCCTGCACCGGATAAGATCCTTGGGGCCTTTGATAGCTCTGGTGACCCTAGGCTTGCATGAGGAGTTCCTGCATCGCCATATTCTGAGCTGCTATGTCTCTCATACCCGCAGCTATCTGAGCCATTCCTTCAATGAGTATGGCTATCCTTCCGCCTCGGCGACACCTGTGATGCGGTCTCTGATGGGTAACATTGTTATAGAGTACCTCTTCTTCAGAGGCCTCTCTTATGGGGTTGTGTCTTCATAGCTGTAGCTCATCCTAACTCTTTTTTCAAGGGTAGTGAGTACTTGGATTGTAACTCGACTTTGTTCTTTTTCAAGAATGCCCCCTTTTCAGGGTTAGTCGCTAGTTCTCCGGTACCTTCTCCGAAGGAGAACGCAAAACTTCGAATGGGGAGTGGTTCCTACAGACGGCGCCAATCTGTTGACCCCGGAGATTGGTCCTTCCACGTGGCCAACTGATAGCTACTCCACGTATTCCTCCCTGCGCACAATCAGCGAATAGTCAGGCGTACACGGCCGGAACCAACGGGGGTGGTGGCGGCCGTATACACTCCGACGGTCAAGTTAGGTTTGGGTGATCGGAACAGTACCCAGGAGCTATGCAAATCAACAATAAAGGGGGAGGAGAAAAATATATAAACTTCCTATAGAGTGCTATGTATTAAGAGTTTCATTACCTTTGCCTCTTGCCAAACCTTGGGTATTTATATGTGGTATGAACCGTTGGATGTGGAACGCGCGTATACATCTGACGGTATGAAGCGTCTGCTCATAGGCGTCAATCAGCCGCGTTTGTAGAGTGGGCAGACAGTTTGTTTCTTCTGAGATGAATTGACATAAAGTTGATAAGTCACATCAACTTGCCTCATGGAGACGTCAAATCAATTTAAGCCTTAGGTGCAGGGCAAATCTCAAATTGGCGGCGGATTTTCTAACCGGGGTCCACTTGATCTCGACCTCGGAGGTGAGATGCTTCGGCAGATCAATAGTAGGAATCGCTATATCATTTTGGAGACACTTCGGAAGGGTCGTTTCCAGGTCGGAATATGTGGTGTTGTGCGGGATCCACTTGACCTCGACCTCGGAGGCGAGATGACACTTCGGTATCCGAGGCGTGTAAAATCGGAGCGTAACACTAGCCAAAATGATAAATAGGGCATGTGTTTGGTTTAGCTTAAAATCTTCACTGAGAAGTAAATAAGTAGGTTATAAAATTAAAGATTTTGGTTGGTCGAAGTTGGACTAAGCTGCACCTATTTCGAAAATAATTCCTGCCTTACTACCAAAATAACTTTTTTTTAGCTCTAAGTAAGAAAACTGTATCGATTTTTGGAAACAAAACTTTACTTAGAAGTAAGCTTGCCAAACATGCATAGATTCTTGTGGTTCTTTTGCAACCATATAGTAGCCTCTTCTTGTTCTGATATTTTAGGAACACTGTAAGTTCTCAAACCAAGATATGCCTGGCTATAACTTGTGGAAACTCCACACACAAATCAATAAGCAGAATGTCACAAATTTTTCCTTATCATTAATATCAATATATTTATATGTTAACAAATCTGGTAAAGAATGTTCGCGTCTAATGTAATCATGTATCTTATTCTTATCTAAGGTATTAGTATTCCCCTATTATTCATGAAACTGAAAAACGTAAATGATTGTTCCCTACAATATCTTTCGCCTGTCCTTACTTTTTGATAACTACTATGTCAAAGCCTATTCTAGTACCCTGCATTCTATTAGAAATTTGCCCAAACTTTACAATATTATGTACAGTAGTGGTCTTCGATTACAACTAGTCAAACGTGATGTGGTCATCGTCAGATTTCCTGTTGTTCACTAAATGATCCCAGGGATTGTAAGTCATTTTTCATGAGTGTTGCGTGTTGTCACACCTGTCCTACCCACCTGGGCCAGTGGCCCACTCATCCTGATCCACGTGGCATTCCTGCCGAGGTGGCCACATTTGCCGAGGTGGGTTATATCCGAACTGCTTCTGACCGAGGCCCGAGGAGTGGAAGCTCCTGGTTGTAGCTGAGGTCCTCGAATGGACGAAGCCCCGAAGTCGATGCGCGAGCCTCAACCACAAGGAAACATCCTCCATTGTCACTTTTCCCAAGAGATCGCCTGCACAAATCTTATTCGAATGATTGATGGAATGTCTGTCATAAGCATAAAGGTCAAGTCTCGTCACTAGCGTGGAGGCCCTGCACAAGCGATAAATGCCCCGTAAGCTAGCAAGTCAAATCCCATGCCTAAGAACAGACGTTTAAACTAAGGAGATGAGGTCACGTGCCACTTCATCCAAGGGCCCCCATTCCATATGTATCACTATAAATACCCCCATTGTATAATGTCAAAAGGCTAATGCAAGAATCAATACTAAAGACTACATTTACTCAACTCTCTCAGTGGCTTGCAATACATAAATTGAGTTTATACACTTTTACATATACATCTACGAGCACCGGTTGGTAATTATTGTACAATCGGATTACGAATAACCCGCCGGATCCCGAACGTCACCGTCCCGCGTCGTCGGGCTACTCCCATGCCCCTTTGAACCGCTCGTTTTAGACCGTCCACGTGTCTTAGCGTGTTGGACATTCGCCCACGCAAGCGCGGGTGGGACCGGCATCTGTTGGCGCACTTTTTGGGGTCAACAGATTGGCGCCGTCTGTGGGAATCCATACCATAACCGCGAGCAACCTTGTGGTAAAAGCTTGCTGAAAAAACATTTGGGCAACCTCCCTTGAAAAAGGATTTGTTCTCGAAAGAGAACAGGAGGAACCCCTACCACTTGGAGAAATCTAAGTTTGATAAAGGAAAAATGAGTTCTAACGAAGATACTTCCCCAAGGAGGGTAAGAGAAAATACGAATGTGCCTCCCCAGCCTGCTGCCCCAGCAGCTCAACAGAGGCTCCACCACCACCAAAGGAGAGGTGGGATGCGTGCGACGGCACGACTATCAAGAGAAACATGAGGGATATAGCCAACCAAAACTTGTGCAAGGCCAAGGAGGTTTCCCCATTCCTCCATATGCCCCCCATGGGCACTATCAGCAAGAGGACGAGGTCCAAAGTCATAGGGCTACCTCGCCAGACTATGGCCGAGGTGAAAGTCCATTCGAGAGGGAAGTGGGAGTTGACATTTCCTCCAATTATGCATCTGGCCGACCCTCCGAGGTCCAAATGAGCCATGATAACTTTCCACCTCCGTATGAGCAAGACCCAAGACAGAGGAGAGCAGGAAGTGTTTTTGACAGAATCAGCCCTGCCGAACCAAGGCCCAGTCAACAGCAGTCTCAGCAGCCTCAGGCGAGGCCACAGCCTCCACCTCCGATGCCCAAACAGCCGGAGAGAAGGCATGAAAATGCCCCCCGCGCTGTCCCGCCTAGAAGTAGGCCGCAAAGGAGGGAGGAAGAGGCTAGGAGCCGGTCAGGACCCTCTCACCAACAACCGAGGTACGAGGTCGAAGATTACGATTCTGATGAGCGGCAGAGGTCCTGTGACTTCGACGATGATGATGAGAACCTGCCATTCTCAAGGGAACTAAGAGAAGCCCAGGTCCCGAGCCACTATGTCATGCCAAAAATACCAAAGTATGATGGGAGAGGTGACCCAGAAAAGCACCTCAACGCTTACAAAACTCACATGAGCCTGAGAGGCGCCACCCCAGCTGTGAAGTGCAGAGCATTCCATTTAACCCTCAGTGGAGTGGCTGAAATCTAGTATAGTAGGTTACCATCTGGGAGCATCTGAAGCTGGCCCGAGTTCAAAACGACCTTCTTGAAGAGGTTTGTAGTGAGCAAGGAAGGAGAGGCCCCCATTCAGCGTCTTCAAGATATGAGACAGGCGCATGGCGAGTCCTTGAAAAGCTTTCTATCCCGCTTTACCGACGAGATGACCTACTGTGTACAAGTCACCGACAGGGAAGCACTATCTGTGTTGAGAGGAGGATTGAACATGAACACCCTATTCTGGAGGGATGTGCAGAATCAAGACCCAACCACCTATGACGCCCTACTAGAGATGATGAGAAGGGAGATAATCAATGAAGAATTGATTAAGCATAGAAACAGGGCAAGCAGGGGCCTCCCACCTCCTCAGAGACAGCGAGGTAGGGGGCCGACCTCACACCTCATGGACTACCAGATGAACCAATCTGGAAATGAGAACTCCGGCCAAGCCCTGGCCACCACACCTCTGAACGCGGTACCAACCTTGGCGTATGAGGATGTCAACCCAGCCGCCGACTCACATCAGATACAGGCCCAGCAGGGACCCCGTAGAGGGAGAGGCCGAGGCCGAGGTTTCGCACCTAGAAACAGGTCTAATCCGAACCTCCCTGGATACTATTTGCACCACAGATCCTACGGGCACGACACCGCGGATTGTAGAGAATATGCACACCGCTCCCGGCAGGAACCCGCCAGGGAAAGACATAACTTGCCCCCGGCGAACAGGCCCCCACCCAGGCAAGACAATCGACATGGGCGTGAGGCGGCCGCTCCTCGTCAAAGGGATGTCTCCCCAAGGCGACGAGAGCAAGACACAGAGAGGCCCAGGGAAGGGCATAGACACCGAAGAAATAGACAAACTCAGGATGAGGCCCCTATCCACGAGATAGACACCATATTTGGAGGCCCTTATGTTGGCGGCGAAACACGGAACGCCAAAAGAAATTATGCTAGGGAGGCTAAGCACCCCCTCTGACAAGCTACATTGTGGATAGTAGCTCTTGAAGAAACCAAGTGCCACCCATTGTCTTCACCAGGAAGACGCCGAAGGAGTTCATTACCCCCACTGCGATGCGCTGGTGGTGAGAGCTGTCATAGCCCAAAATGGGCTCAAACGAATGCTAGTCGACAACGGCAGCTCCGTCAACATCTTATTCGGGTCCGCCTTTGACAAGATGATATTGGACCACCAGTTGACGCCCACCACCACTCCATTGTACGAATTTACCGGATATAGCATCACTCCGAGGGGAAAGATAACACTGGCAGTGGAGATGGGAGAATCCCCTCAAACTATAATGAACTTTATGGAGTTCCTCGTAGTCAACAGCCGATCGGCTTACCACGGAGTCTTGGGTAGACCGGCCCTAAAGGAATTGGGAGTAGTCACCTCCATCCACCACCTATGCATGAAATTTCCAACAGAAAATGGGGTGGCAACGGTGAGAGGTGACCAGAGAGGTTCGCGAGAGTGCTATCTGAGCTCCATTAAGAAGGTAGAGCCCCGGGACGTCCACGTGATCATGGCTGATGTGGTCATGGCGGATGTCCCAGGTGACGCTCCCGCCAGCCAGGAAGATGTTGATATGATTGACGCACCGCCTATTCAGGAGGTGTTAATCGTTGATGAACTCAACCCCCGCGTAATGGAGCATGAGCCTCAAGCGTCCCCTATAGAGGAACTTGAGAGCTTCTCAGCCGACCCCCGAGATCCGTCAAAGATGTTGAAGATAGGCAGGGGCTTATCCAGCATTTTGAGAGAGAAGATCAAGGACTTCCTAGGCAAGAACCTCGACGTCTTCGCCTGGAGACATGAGGACATGGTGGGCATAGACCCCAAGGTCAGCTGCCACCACTTGAAAATCGATCCTAATTTCACCCCGCATAGACAAAAAAGGAGAGCCCTCAATCCAGAGAGGTATGAGGCCCTAAAGGAAGAAGTTCAGAAGCTCATCCAAAATGGCTTCATCAGGGAGGCCACTTATCCGAAATGGGTCTCCAACCCGGTCTTGGTTAAGAAACACAATGGCAAATGGAGAGTATGTATCGACTTTACCAACCTTAATAGAGCTTGCCCGAAAGATAGCTTTCCGCTTCCAAGAATTGACCAATTGGTGGACTCCACGGCTGGGCACGAGTTGTTGAGCTTCATGGATGCATACTCCGGCTACAACCAGATCCCCATGCACCCGGCTGATGAGGAGCACACCTCTTTCATCACGGACCAAGGCCTCTATTGCTATAGAATGATGCCCTTCGGGTTGAAGAATGCCGGAGCAACTTACCAAAGACTCGTGAACAAAATGTTTACCGACCTCATTGGCAAGACGATGGAGGTCTACGTGGATGACATGCTGGTAAAAAGCCTAGAAGCAGAGAACCACATAGTGCACCTCAACGACACCTTCCAAATACTGAGAAGGTACAGGATGAGGCTCAACCCCTTCAAATACGCCTTTGGGGTGGCTTCCGGCAAGTTCTTGGGGTACATGGTCAACCAGCTTGGAATTGAAGCAAATCCCGAGAAGATTGAGGCTCTGTGCCAGATGAGGTCCCCTCAAAAGTCAAAGGAGGTGCAAAGCTTAACTGGACGAGTGGCAACACTTAGTCGCTTCGTCTCCAAGGTAACTGACAAGTGCCTCCCATTTTTCAAAGTGCTCAAGGCTGGGAAGAAATTCCAATGGACTGAGGAATGTGAAGGGGCCTTCCGAGGATTGAAAAGGCACTTGGGGCAGGGCCCCGAAGCCCGGTGACATCTTGCAACTATATCTCGCCGTCTCCAATGGCGCCATCAGTTCGATTTTGATTCGAGAAGAAGGGTCCACCCAACTCCCTGTCTACTATACGAGTAAAGCGCTCCTATCGCCGGAGACCCGATACCCCGATATGGAGAAGCTTGCTTTGGCCTTAATCACGGCCTCTAGGAAATTGAGACCTTACTTCCAAGCTCATACCATCCATGTACTTACAAATTTTCCCCTGAGGCAAGTACTCCAGAAGCCCGATGCCTCGGGAAGATTGTTGAAATGGGCAGTGGAACTAAGTGAATTTGACCTTGTGTTCAAAGCAAGGGTGGCCATCAAAGGGCAAGCGTTAGCAGACTTTGTTGCTGAATTCGCCAACCTACCCGAGGTGGATGAAATCATGGAGCCCGTCGAACCTCCCATGTGGAGTCTCTTTGTAGATGGCTCGGCTGGGGATGTCAGCTCAGGAGCCGGGGTTGTCCTCATCAGCCCCGAGGGTCACAAACTCACCTCGATCGTGAGGTTCGGGTTCAAAGCTACCAACAATGTTGCAGAGTATGAAACACTCCTTGCAGGCATCAGACTGGCCAGGGAAATGCAAGTAAAGAAGCTACTCGTCAATAGTGACTCCCAGCTGGTTGTTAGCCAAGTCAATGGTAGTTTCTCAGCTAAAGACAGAACAATGGCCTCCTATCTGAAAATGGTGATGAGCCTCATCCCATCCTTTGAAAAGTTCGAGTTAATCCAGATTCTCCGCATCGAAAATGCTCATGCGGACGCACTTCGAAGCTGGCTAGTAGTAAGGACTCAGAGCTACTCGCTGTAGTGCCTATCGAGCATCTCCTACTGCCTTCTACCGAGGCCCCTAATGTCATGTGGGTCAGTGGAATTCCCGCCTGGATGCAACCAATTATAGCATATCTGAAAGACCAGGTGCCACCCACCGACAAAAATGAGGCTTACAAGCTGAGAAGGAGGTCAGCCCATTTCCTCTTCATCGATGACATTCTTTACAAGAGAAGTTTCTCCTCTCCACTCTTACGATGTGTCGGAGGAGAAGAGGCTTTATACATACTAAGAGAAGTCCACGAGGGAGTGTGTGGCAACCACTCTGGAGGCCTATCTCTGGCACAAAAAATACTGAGGCAAGGATACTATTGGCCTACCCTGAAACGAGATGCACTCGAATTTGTGCGAAAATGTGACAAATGCCAACGATTCTCTCCCGTTCAAAGACAACCATCACAGGATCTGACTGCGGTCTCCAGCCCCTGGCCTTTCTCAAAGTGGGGTGTGGACCTCATAGGCCCTCTACCAAAGGGTAGAGGAGGCGCAAATTTTGCAATAGTGGCCATTGATTACTTCACGAAGTGGGTCGAAGCTGAACCACTGGCAAAAATCACAGAAGCAAACACCTCCAAGTTCCTATGGAAGAATATCATTTGTCGGTTCGAAATTCCCTACTCGATCGTCTCAGACAATGGTAGGCAATTCGATAACAAGAAGGTTAGAGAACTGTGTGAAGATCTTGGCATAAAGAAACACTTCTCTACACCTCACCACCCACAGGCCAACGGCCAGGTTGAAGTCGTAAACAAGACAATCAAGCACGTCCTGAAAAGGAGGCTTGATGTGTCCAAGGGGGCTTGGGTTGATGAGCTGCCCCAAGCACTTTGGGCAATCCGAACCACCACCAGGACCCCAACCGAGAAGACCCCTTTCCTCATGGCTTTTGGGACTGAGGCGATGAGCCCCGTGGAGGTCGGACTCCCATCTCCACGGCGTCTGCACTTTAGTGAAGTGACCAACGACGAGCTCCGGAGGCTAGACCTCGATTTCATTGAGGAGAGGAGGGACGACTCCCAGCTAAGGCAAGGCACCTACCAAAGGAAGATGACAAGGTACTTCAACTCCAAAGTCAAGAAGAGGTCTTTCCGAATCAACGATCTTGTGCTCAGGAGGGTCTTTCCATCTTCAAAAGAACCTGCAACGGCTCCCTGGGATCGAACTGGGAAGGTCCATACAAGATCAGAGAAGAAATCCGACCTAGAACCTACTGGATTGAAGACATGGACGGCAAGGCACAACCCCGTCCATGGAACATAGAACACCTCAGAATCTTTTATCAGCGAACTGTATCATGCTGGATGACTTTCCCAGCCTTTGTAATATTTCTATGGCTATATAAAATGCGTTGATTAAATCGTTATACTATGTTGTCACCTCAGAAGAGAGGCTCGGGACCCACCACTGGGCCACCTCGCTTGACTCCGAGGCTCTAAGACATGCCTCCCTTTTGGTCGTGCTGAGAGCTAAGGGAGAAGCCTCAACATGGCTGCACCATCCACCATGTCTGGGATGCGTCGTAACCTCGGAGGAGAGGCTTGGGACCCACCACTGGGCCACCTCGCTTGAACTCCGAGGCTCTAGCACATGCCTCCCTTTTGGCCTTGCTAAGGGCCGAGGGGAGAAGCCTCAACATGGCTGCACCATCCACCATGTCTGGGATGCGTCGTAACCTCGGAGGAGAGGCTCGGGACCCACCACTGGGCCACCTCGCTTAAACTCCGAGGCTCTAGCACATGCCTCCCTTTTGGCCGTGTTGAGCGCCAAGGGGAGAAGCCTCAACATGGCTGCACCATCCACCATGTCTGGGATGCGTCGTAACCTCGGAGGAGAGGCTCGGGACCCACCACTGGGCCACCTCGCTTGAACTCCGAGGCTCCTGCACATGTCTCCCTTTCGCTTGCTGAACGCCGAGGGGAGAAGCCATCTCCTTATGTTCATTGGCTTAAGTCCGAGGCTCACACAGTTGTTCATCTCCTTAAGTCCTGCTTAAGTCCGAGGCTCACACAGTTCATCTCCTTAAGTTATGTTCATTTGCTTAAGTCCGAGGCTCACACAGTTCATTTGCTTAAGTCCTGCTTAAGTCCGAGGCTTACACAGTTCATCTCCTTAAGTTATGTTCATTTACTTAAGTCCGAGGCTCACACAGTTCATTTGCTTAAGTCCTGCTTAAGTCCGAGGCTTACACAGTTCATCTCCTTAAGTTATGTTCGTTTGCTTAAGTCCGAGGCTCATACAGTTGATTGGTTAATGTTAGGATACCAAGTTAAAGTTATTGAGTGTGTGCTTTAATCAACTTCTAGTCCGCTTGTTTAACGAGGCACAAAAACTTGGAGGAACAACAATTAGTAAAGGAAAGCATTGTATTAATATTCAAAAGGAATTACAAAGGAGGGCCTCTGGCCATTACACAAAGTACTGAAAAGGAAACCTAATCTAAGTCTGGCTGGATGGAGGAGGCGCCTCCACGCTTGGGGGTTCAGCAACTTGGGCATCAGTAGTTGCTTCCTCTGCCTCAGCACTTAGGGCTTCAGCATCAGCTGCCCCGTCACCTTGTACCTCCTCAGCTGGGGTCTGAGGAACCTCATCCACAAATTCGGACCTGAGTTGTGCCAGGTCCGAGTTGGGATAAAGCTCCTCCGCCCTCTCTAGCACTTCGGCATAGGCGAAGTTCCTCCAGTACGCGTTGAAGCTTTTGTACTCCTCTGTGGTGTGGAAGTTGGCGATGTATGCCTTCACTGCCTCTTTCGCTATAGTTCGGGCCTCTTCTCTGGCAGTCGAGGCGTCGTTCATATACCACTTAGCCTGCCCTTCGAGAAACTGATTGGCATCACGAGCGCCGGCCAATGCAAGATTCGCCTGCTCCAGAGCCTCAGCAGTCACCTTTTGGTGTTCATTGGAGACCTCCACCTTCTTTGTCAAGGAGGTCACCTCACACTGTGACTCAGATACTTCCCTCTTGAGGACCTCAATTTGGGTCAACGTAGACTCGAGCCTCGCCGCTTCTTCAACCCTTTGCGCTTTGGCTTCTTCGGCCTCAGCCTTAGCAGCTTTGACCTCTTCTACAAGGGAAGCAGCCTTCCCCTCCAAGGCGTGAGTCCTTGTTTGGAACTCACTTAATGCCTCCCTGCATTCCAGCGCGAGGCCAAAAGTCCGGGCGCTTTGGCTCACCAATGCCCTCGTGAGGTCGGTGGCATCACAAGACGAGGCGTGAAGCTACCACCTCTCCGTCCAGAACTTGTAAAAGCTCTCGGTGGCACCTCTGATTTCCTCAGGGAGAGCCTCCACCAAGGCTGGGGCCAGCTCATCCTCCTTCCCAGCTAGGAAGTTAGGAGACTTTCCCTTCTCCCGGACCGGCTTCTCCTTCACCGCCTCCTCTTCGACGGCCTCTGCGGCTCGCCTTGCAGCCTCTTCTCTGGCCTCTTCAGCCTCCACCTCTCTAACCATCTTCATTTTGATGGCCTTAGAGGCTGCAGCAAGGAGCTTTGGCTCACCGGTCTATTCTGCCCTATGGGACACTGAAGTCCCGAACTTGCCAGCTGAGCTGGAGATGTGCACCAGCTTCCTCTTCTTAGTCTCCTCAGAGACTTTCTCGTTGCCCCGAGGCTCCTTAGGCTTCTCTAGCCTCTGAGTAGATGCCTCTTCCAAGGTCCTAGGAGTGCAGTCCTTCAACAGGCGCTCAACCCTGCCTTGTACTTCCTTTGCTCCACTGGACCTAGGCTTCAGGGGCCTCACCTTTGCAGTAGAAGTGGCCTTCAAGATGGAGGCCATGTCTGGAGCTGGGTACTCCCTCTTCTTGAATTTATCTGCACCATAGATTAGCATCAGCACAAGAAACATTCAAGTTAAACATCAAGTGTTGGAGCCCCATACCTCTGGATGCCATCAGCCCAAAGTCCAAGAAGTATCTGCTTCTATCAATCAGGTGATCGAAGTGCCGAAGCTTCAGAGGCCTCTTGTAAATGTCCTCTATCACCTCGAATTCCTCCCTGCTGAGCTCGAACCTCGTACTACTATCTGCAAAGACGAACCTTCAACACTTAGACGAGTAAAGACTCTGATTTCAAAACACAAGCAGAGGTCGGGAGACTCACGAGTTTCATAGTACTGGGTCGGCACTGTGCATGACAGGGCTTTGTCACCCTCCACTGCCTGCCATTTACCTCGCACCCAGAACCAGGACTCCTTCCACCCCTTGATAGAGGAAGGAAGTCCCACCACAAAGGGTGCGTGAGCCACCCAAGGCGTGAGGTAGTACCACCCCCTTGACTCCTTCCCAATTACCTGGGGCTGGAACAGGGTCATGAAGACATGAAGAGGCATGTCCTCCCCCAGTGACACTTCCTTTCACAGGAAGTACGAGCCAACCAGCTGGCTCCACCCATTCAGTAGAACCTGGGTCGGCGATAGCATGAATTTCCTAAGCACTGCCCTAAAAAAGGGGTACAAAGGAAGATGCATACCTACTTTGAACAGATATTCACTCACGGCAACGCAGTCGGGCCTCGGATAGCAGGCCCTCTCGTTCGGTTCGGGGACTAACATCTCTATGTGATGAGGCACACCGTACCTCTCCCTAAGTTCCCCCAACCTCTTCCCCGTCATGTTTGAGGGCACTCTAGAAGCCCCCCACTCCTGGGTATAATCCATGTCCTCCTCAGCCATGGCATACCTATCCACCTCGGACGTCCCCCCATGACCTACCCCATGGTCTAAAGACGCTACTGTGACAAGCTCCCTACCCGAAGTGGACTCCATTTTTTGAGGACAAAAAATAACAACGGTGTTTTATGCAAACAATACCTAAAACAGTTCAACACAAACGGAGACCGGTCGGAATCTAATCGCAGACAACCACGACGCCGAAAATTGGGAAATTTGAGAGAATTTGAGAATGCAAAGTGTTCAAAATTTCTGGAAAGTGGGATTTTCTCGCCTTTTATAAAGATCCAAGACGAACCCCACCCGTCAGATCAAATCTCAGTCAATCCGAGCCCTCCGTTACAGATCCAATCCGAGGCGTTGAATTCTAACAGTTTTTGAAATCCTATGCCTCCTATCTATGCGTACCTCTCACGCACCTCTCCAGCGCGTCTGCTTCTAGAAACGCCAGCTACGCTCATAATTGCATTTTTAATTCATCGGCGCCACCGCCTTGGAAGTCGTAACGGTTCAGCTACCGTTTCCTCGAAAACAAGCACAAAACATCAAATCATTGGCACAGAGACCAAAGCATAATCATTACCATTGGACCTCGGCTTCTTCACACCCACTCAGCATTCAAGCCTCGCAAGTTTGGTTTCTCAACCACCTCGGCTTCTTCATATGCCGTTCAGCATTCAAGCCTCACAGGTTCGGTTTCTCAACCACCTCGGCTTCTTCACACCCACTCAGCATTCAAGCTTCGCAGGTTTGGTTTCTCAACCACCTCGGCTTCTTCACACCCACTCAGCATTCAAGCCTCGCAGGTTCGGTTTCTCAACCACCTCGGCTTCTTCATATGCCATTCATCATTCAAGCCTCACAGGCTCGGTTTATCAACCACCTCGGCTTCGTCATATGCCATTCAGCATTCAAGCTTCGCAGGTTCCGGTTCCCCAACCACCTCGGTTTCTTCATCATACACCTACAGCAAAACTTCTCTAACTCTAACCATGATATAAATATCTATACTTAGATTTGGGGGACTATTGTTGCGCATTGTCACACCTGTCCTACCCACCTGGGCCAGTGGCCCACTCATCCTGATCCACGTGGCATTCCTGCCGAGGTGGCCACATTTGTCGAGGTGGGTTATATCCGAACTGCTTCTAGCCGAGGCCGGAGGCGTGGAAGCTCCTGGTTGTAGCTGAGGTCCTCGAATGGACGAAGCCCCGAAGTCGATGCGCGAGCCTCAACTACAAGGAAACATCCTCCATTGTCACTTCTCCCAAGAGATCGCCTGCACAGATCTTATTCGAATGATTGATGGAATGTCTGTCATAAGCATAAAGGTCAAGTCTTGTCACTAGCGTGGAGGCCCTGCACAAGCAATAAATGCGCCGTAAGCTAGCAAGTCAAATCCCATGCCTAAGAACAGACGCTTAAACTAAGGAGATGAGGCCACGTGCCACTTCATCCAAGGGCCCCCATTCCATATGTATCACTATAAATACCCCCATTGTATAATGTCAAAAGGCTAATGCAAGAATCAATACTAAAAACTACATTTACTCAACTCTCTCAGTGGCTTGCAATACATAAATTGAGTTTATACACTTTTATATATACATCTACGAGCACCGGTTGGTAATTATTGTACAATCGGATTACGAATAACCCGCTGGATCCCGAACGTCACCGTCCCGCGTCGTCGGGCTACTCCCACGCCCCTTTGAACCGCTCGTTTTAGACCGTCCACGTGTCTTAGCGTGTTGGACATTCGCCCACGCAAGCGCGGGTGGGACCGGCATCTGTTGGCGCACTTTTTGGGGTCAACAATGAGCATATAACATTTATCAATTCTTCCAAAAGATATAGCAGTGACCTGAACAAATGGCAAAAAAGGATTCATGTCCCATATCATAAGGAATAAGGCTTGGTTTATTATTGTTTTGAATAACATTTAATAAATTACATAAATTATAAATGAAAATACGAAAGTGTCCTTTCTTTAGCAATCAATTGACAGAAAAAGTTAATCACAATTATGAAATTTCTAGGTCCTTAGTAATAGTAATAGAAATTCATACCTCAGGGTAATTAAATTCGCTCTTATGACTTCCAATTATTTGGTGAGCACCCCTTCTCACTCATAGATAACCATAAGCATATTTGAATTAGAATTCAATTGTTGCTGACTTGATACCTCCGTTCTTTGCAGGACATCTCTCAACTAACCTCACTTCATGACCTTGCTTTTCAACCCATTTCATGAACATTAGAGTGAGTTGTCCTGCCCATGTCTGAATAAAATTTACATCAAGATCTTAATGAAGAAGACCCAATTCTGTTAAAAAAATAAAACACAGACCTACTACCAATGAGATAAAAGAACACCTTTTCCCAAAATATCAAGTAACTCGTATGCTTTAGTACATTAATGGAGAAAATGGTCCTTGCGAATCTAGAGACGAAGAAGCTTATTCACATAGCCAACTCTACTAAAAGTCTCCTATGGTTTAAAGGCTTGTTTCAAACTTGTTCATACAATGAATAGACGAATAATGCAAATAATAATAATAATAAGGAACACATCATAACACATCAAAACAAGTTTATCCAATGAAAAAGCAATGAGGTACATAGAATTAGTTACCAATTTGACAAAGTTGTAACTATTCATTAGCATAAACACCAAAACAATTGATAATGGCATAAAGCCAGATCCGAAAAGAAGATAAAAGGAACTATGATTAGCAAGAATGAATCATAGACAATCGCATGGACCATGTAAGAAAGCTCAAAGAAAGGATTCAACCGAGTTATTCATGTATGTAATAGAAACTCTCTAAGGAGGCTCATGGACATTCCTAATCTTGAACCTTGTTGAACCTTTATTAACTGACAAACAAATCAATAAACGATTTGGTTTTAAAAAATAGCTTATGGCTACGAAGTAAAACTTTAGAGAGTCAAGGTTAAAAGCAAATTATAAAATAATAAATATTTTCTGTGAAGTTAAATCATCCCTCACTGATGAGTTATAAAGGGCTTTCCATTTAAAAAAGCAGTGACTCTACAGAAAAGCATAGTCTCAAACCACAAACCTCTGAGTAAATGTCTCCACATCTAGATTCAAATTTGAGACAAGCTCCCTCCATGTCATATGCCTCTTTAAGAAACTTAGACATCTTACACTTATCCAAAAACTTGTTTAAATCTACAAATGCAAAATATGTCTGCTTGAAAAGCTCATAATTTACAGTACCTCACTCTGTAAGCTCTGTAATTAGTTTAACTTCCTCAGCCTGCAGTAGAGATTTACAACTTCTAAAAATAGTGAGCCCTTTTCACTATCATCTTATAACCTAAAATAACTTATTATATTACAAACGAATGGGCAAATTTACATGCACACACTTTCAAGTCTTCCAGTTGACAATTGTATCCAAATAGACATAAAAATACTTGCATGAGAAGCACACTACCTTATATTTGAGGTCTTTAAGGATGTCAACCACCTTGGCACTGTTGGCTAGTTTGATGAGGATTTCATTCGATTTCCCTGGGTAATCTCATAAGTCATGATCACGAATAATTTCTTCTAGCTTGACATGTCTTGCTTCTTCATGTTCCAAGGCTGTTGTTGCTAACATCGCTGCACGGAGAATCAAATCTTCTATCCTTTTTCTTAAAGAAAACATACCTATATAAAACCAAAACATTGCAACCAATCCAAGTGGCAAGTACTAGACTATTGTGTACATTTATCATACAAATATGATCTTTTAAGATATGCAGACATGAAAATCTTGCAAGGAATAAGTGTATTGTAAAATAATCTTCGTAGAAATAACCTAATGATTAACAAGCCTTAGGATTCCTTTTCCCTTGTTCCTAGAATTGACATAGAAGATTTGATCCTTATTTCAGCAATCCGAATTTAAATTTGCCGCTGTATATGATCCATAAACAATTGACATGAATGAATCCACATATCTATATAGGAAACATAATAGTGCTTCAATAGCTAGTCAAAATTTAAACCATAACTTCGTTGAGGGGATTATTTTTCCTTGATTTACAAGGCCTTTTCTCTTGATAAACATGTAAAATGCCACAAACCCAGAATTAACCATTTTCTAAACAATGTGTACCATAAACGAATCATCTTGAAGATAAATATCTAATAAAGGAAAGGCAAAATAGAAGAAAATGCTGAAAGGTTGAGGCTAAAATGTGCATTAGTTTTTATTGTTCTCTTTAAGTCCAAGTCAATCCAAATTATGATTGTTGTGGTGTTACCTAATTAAACCAAGAAAAGAAATACCAATGACATATAAATAATATAACAAATGTTATTAATAACAGACTATCAAGTATGCAAATTTTTAGGTGCATATATTCTCAATAATTTATTCAATTTTCAAGAGAAGAGGTAAGAGACATTGCATTAAACAATAAACTTTTTTTCTTATATGGGCCCAAAAAACTGTACGAGTACACAAATGGCTCCAAAATCCTGAAACTGCATAGGCAGACACAATTCTAAACATAGAGCGAGAGACAGAGAGATCGAGTTCTTTGTAGAGCTTGTTATTCTTGCTATCATCCAAGGGTTCGTGAGAAGCTCGAATAATTGACCTTGAACTGAACGCCCTAAATACAGAAGCTTTAGCAACTGGAGGTTTCCATTTAGGTTGGCCAAATATATAATTTAATTAAAAAAGTCGATAAACCAGCAGCAGAAGGCTGTACACACCAAGATTCTGCTGCCATTTTCAGTAGCCTTCTGAAAATTTCTAATTGTCGGAAAATGCAGCTTATCAATTCTTTCTTGTACTTCTTTGGACTTTGAGAGACGAAGAATATTGTGAGCGGCTTTGGAAAAAGAATAAATGGCAAGGCCATAAAAGGACTATTGAAAGAAGTTTTTAAGTTTCTTACAAAAAACTTCTTTCTATTTTCTAGTGAAGCCAATTTTAAAAGGACGTTGCTACATAGTACATATACATCTTGTTTTACCTAATAGGTTACATAATGTCACATATCACTTTATTATTTGTCAATTTAAAACAGTCAATTTTTTCATACAATATTTTCCTCTAACATCATTTTATGTAATCTCTCATGTATAATTTTTATATACAAGTAGCATAATCCATTTTAAAATATGAGAGCATGTTTGGTAGAAAAGAAATTGCTTATTTATGAGGTGAGGCCTACAAAATATGGGCACCAAAATCTACCCAAGTGTGAAAATTTCCCAAAATTTCTTAACTCAAAAATACTAGTATTTTTGGGTTCAGTGTGAAAATTGTCATGAATAAAATTACAAGAAAATTTTAAAATAAAAAAATTGATCCCCTTTGACTACACAAGAATGTGCAGAGTTGAACCATGTCTTGAAGCACTAGAGATCGTTCTTTTACGAAAATTATTATCAATATTTAATAATTTAATTTAAGCGCTCAATTAAAATTTATGTTTGACCTAATATACTCCATCTAACATGGCATTCATATGAAAGTAGATTAAATTGAAAGAATTAATGATTTTGTCAAAGTAAATCGATATCAAATATTTTTTCAAACTACCATAACTAAACATATCCAACTACTATAGATAAACATGTCCAACAAGTACTTAGACAAAAACTTGGGACGACCCAAATGTCAAGCTACCACAAAAGTTATTACACTGTCATGCATAAATATTCTCTTAGCGAAAATTTTCTACCTGTCGAGCTTGTCTAAGTATCATTAAACAAATAAAATTTAAATATCACGAATCATATTGTCCATAAATGTCAAGAAAAGTACATTATTAAGGCAAATTAAAATGTTCCAAGTACTTAAGGACATCATCTACCCAAACATATCTCCAACTTACTAGACTCAAAACCCCAACCTCATTTTATCCACCACCAGTTAACCTCAAGCCCAACCGCAAGTTCGCCACCAGTCCATTAGCATCATCACTCAAGCAACCCCCCAGCAACGATAGCTCCTTCAAAAACTACCCTTCAACCCTAAAACAAAGTTTCCCTTCCCTCTGCAATCCATCATTGTGAACATACTCTCAAAACCCTTCAGAAACAAATTCCAAGTAATTCTCAAACTATCCAATGTCTCGAACACCATCGAATTATTACTCTTTATGTTAATATCGTACTGGAAAATGCCATTCTATTCGACCTCAAGTTTTTCAAAGGCTTTATGTGTGTTGTTAAGGTCATTAGCAAAGAATATATCTTGCAAAGAAAGATGGGGTTGTTGAAAGTTGAAACGTGGTGTTCAGACAAAATCTACAAGCGTACAAGGTCGTTGACAAGTAATAAATTTAGTGAATTGAACGTATCGCTACACGATGAATAATTGTAGTTATAGTCTAATAGTTATAATCAAATTCGGTTTAATGTAACACAAAGGAAATTTATTTTAGCTATTATTCTAATTTAAACTATGAAAGCAATAAAAGATTGATTTTTATTCAAAGATGAGATGAATGTATTAGATTTCAGAATTCACTTATTGATGTCTAATTCCTATTCTCGACTTATATAGGCAGATTGATTAATGTGTTCTTGACAATCAATAATCCATTAATATCTAATATTCCTTTTCAAGATATATGAAATATATACTTAACACAATCCAATCATATTCTTAGTTCGAATTCATATGCAAAGCACGCATTCAATCACAAGATTATCTCATACAATTGCATGCACCATAAATATTATTCCTAATATCTATTTTTCATGTGTTAAATAAGCAGTGTTTTACTTTTTGTGAGTCTCCCAACACTACAAATAAGCAACTAGTTATACAAATGATGACTAAACATTCAAACAATACAAGATCCGTGTATATTTAATCAAGAACACAAGAATTCATTAAAAATAATAAGTCTTGAACTACAAACTAAATCAAAAGTTTCATCAATCCAATACATAAAAGATTTAGCCTAACATTGCCGTATAAAAATTCCACAAAAGAAAGACAAACATCACCAAAGACTAAGAAACTTGGGAAGAACGTGAAAACTTCAATTCATCGCTAGAAACTCGACCCAAAATGATGCAATTTTCACTACTTGAGTATAAAAATCTCTATTTTCTTGATCTTCTAATTTGAAAACTAGGT